TCAATTTGTGGGAAAACAAGGACGTAAATTTCACCGCACAATTGTCAGTTAAAATAACACAGCGCCTTAACGCAAAAAATGGCCTGGTCATGAAGGGGGGTAAATCCTCAGGAGGCCAAGTGGTTAAGCTCTGACAAAAAAAATGGAAGCTGATTGGTTTCCATGCAGAGCTGCACCAGATTTTGCACACTTCAGTTTTAGTAAATCAACCCCTAAGTGTTTAATTTCAATTCTTCCTGTGACATTATAAAACAAACTTTGTCACATTTTAAAATGGAAGCTACAAAATTTATTAAGCTTTCAAAATTGTAAAAGAACAAATAGAATTTCCAGCATTAAACAACTTAGGCAGATTATCTAAACAATGAAACACAAAAATAAATCCTAGCCTATACAGTTCTAACTGCTCTTTAATGTCCTTTCTTGCAGGAAAATGGACCCTCTGTCAAGATTAATGACGATTACACCTAAATCTTCACAAGGCTGAGAAATCAAAATGATCATCACTAAATCAAACACAAGATTGGCACATCAGATGCTTTCCATGGTATCATCCTATAAACTGTAGTATAAGCAAACAATATCCCTGCACAGCAAGATCAAATCTGTGTTTTTGTGTGCTTATAAGTAAAAATGTGTCTATGCCTTTGAGCTAGCTAGAACTAGTTTGTGATTCCATATTCACAATCAGACATAAATAAAATAAATGTGTACAGCACTCAAATTCCTAATATCCACCAATAATATGATAAGCAAATAAACATATCACTACATACAATATACCTGTACATAAATAACCAATACTGCATTAAATATACATCTGAATTAATCACTGCATAAAAAATATTGGTGATCTTAGTCCAAGTAAAATCATATGTATAAGTGTTTGTTTTACTGCAAAAAATCAAAACCAATTAAAATTTCCAAATCACTCCATTAATACCTCTTAGTGAACTTCAAAGTCCCTTCTAATAAATCAGTCCAATAAATCTTTAAAATTTGTGATTTTTTTTGATGCCATGGTGATTTCAGCTCTTCATTCACCACCACTCAAGTACAGATAGATATATGCTCACCCTTGTTGATTGATCCCTAAATTAAAGGAGGTCAATACAGGCTTTTAATATCAATCAACTTATACACAATCAGCGTCTTCAGGAGGGATATTGCGGAGATATCCACCATGTATTGTATGACCTAATGATAGTATCCATAAAGTGTTATCTTTAAAAATGCACTTGCCAATAGTTGTGCCAACTGGGGGACCCCATGAGTTTAACAATAAGTATAACCTACCAACTGCAACATAGCAGGAAATCTGATACAGAGACACCATAAAATAAAAAGCAATAACTACATCACTTTATATACAGTATATGGCATAAAAGGTGTAGGACCATTGGAGAAAACAATAGATAAATTTATCAATAAGAAATCTAATAAGTCAAAGGGTCCTAGGTAGTATTGTACATAGTATACACCTGTTAATATAGAGCTGCACTAGATTAGCACTACTTGTATTTAATGTCATCAAGACTTAGTATAGAAGACATCAATCATAGGTCCACATGTGTGTTTACAATCAGCCATCTCCTCTAGTGCACAGAGTTAACATACATTTTATACCATATTCCATGTTGACATATTCAATATACTATATGTAACTGGTATATTCATATATCCTAATTAGGGATGAGTTTAAGGTTCAAGATGAATCCAAGGCATTCCATGTTCAAACTATTTGGATCAACTTTGGCTAGTTCGCCCACCCACATTCCTTGCTATTGTAATGTAAATAAATAAACATATTTAGTCAACAAAGTCACTCTGTATCCCAAGACTGTATTTATATTATCACAGGACCAAAGACCTGTCATTTTGTTATAGGAGTGCAGCAGGGCAGTGGGTAGTTGTGACAAGGATTTATATCAGCCTCAAGACATATACTCTTTCCTAGGGGAATGAGTACAGTATACAGTAGCACCCCTTTGTATTCATTCCCAAAAAAGTGAAATTGAAATTAACATATCCACACTGTGAAAAAGTTCTTTAACAGCAAAAATAAAATAAAATAAGTAAATAGCATCCCCAATGTAAATCCATAATCAATTACATTGTCAAGTAATGTAAATATATAATCAACAACAATGGCCCACTTCCCAGTCATGTTTTCATGCTGCATTTACACCACTAAATGACAGTGCTGCTGTATTGTAAACAATGTCATCAGGAATTTTAGGTGACATCATTGACCAAACAATATCATGACCTTATGTGATTAATGATGTTTTCCCAAGCAGGGGCGGATTGACAACTCATGGGGCCCCCGGGCAATAGCGGATCATGGGGCCCGTGTGTCCTTGCCCAAACTCAAAAAAGCCTATGAAAAAGGTACCAGTGGCATCTCATGGGGCCCCCTACTGACCCCGGGCCCTCGGGCAGTGCCCAAGTTTCCAAATGGTCAGTCTGCCCCTGATCATACGTATAGTTCTAGTGAACAGAAAATAAAAACACTTTTGTTCTTAACAGCTTTGGGTGCCACTGGTTGCAGATATGTTGGATAGCTTGTCCTTCCAGGGTGCCCGAGTTTCCAAATGGTCAGTTCACCCCTGTTCCCAAGATCTCCAGATGTTTGTTTGCATACAGCAGTCAGGGAAATCAGGTGGGCAATCTGGTCAATATGGAGTAAATAATTAATCAATTCTGCAAACATTGAACAAGCTGAGTTTGAGTTGAACCCACATTCAACCTAAACTGGAATCTCATCACTACAATACAGTCAACACAGTGAAGCAACCCACCCTTGCTGAATTGTATAAACCATCACAACATATTTTGTAAAGCACACCATTTAATATAGAGTAAAGTTACATGTAGACTGACAAAGCAAATCTACATTGTCTAAAATAAATATAACATTTACATTTCAGCAGCTAACATATACAGCTCTGGGCCCTTTGTAACACCATGACATTGACGTAGAAGAGGGTGGAACACAGAACAAGAGGTCCCGTGAAGGAAAGTACTCTCCCCATGTTGTGGGATTGTGGGCTGGTAGATTCAGGGTAGTGATTAGCCAAACTGTCCTGGGTTTGGTTCGGCATGGGCTGAATCTGTCAAATTAAATTGCCCATTCTCTGGGCTAATAAGCAAGGGGTTGTATAATAAGCAAGGGGGTATCTGTTAGGTATCTGTTAGGTATCTGTTATGCCCAACAGTGCCACCCATCAGTGCTGCCTAGCAGTTTTGTCCATCAGTGCCCCTCATCAGTGCCCAGCAGTGCCTCCCATCGGTACTGCCAGGCAGTGCTGCCAGTCAGTGCCATCAGTTAGCGCAGTCAGTGCCGCCAGTTAGTGTCACCCATCAGTGGCCATTAGTGCTGCCTATTCTTGCCCATGACTGCTGCCTATCAGTGCCCATCAGCATTGCGTATCAGTACAGTCTCATTAACGCACATCAGTGAAGGAGAAAAATTACCTGTTTGCAACCTGTTATTATAGAAACAAAGAAAAACTTTTTTTTTCAAATGTTTTGCTCTTTTTTTGTTTATAGTGCAAAAAATAAAACACCCAGTGGTGATTAAATACCACCGAAAGAAAGCTCTATTTGTGTGACAAAAATGTCATATGGGTACAATGTTGAATGACCGGGCAATGGTCATTCAAAGTGTGAAAGCTGAAAATTGGCCTGGGCATGAAGGGGGTAAAAGTGCCCTGTAGGCAAATGGTTAAAACAAGCAGGCAGGTAGCCAGTAGCTGTAATTTAGTGGCAGTAATAATACATCCATTAAATGAATGACTTTCATCTGCAGCAGCTAGAGGTTTGGGGAGGTGAACTGGCCATATCTGTCTATTTAGTTTGCCCATTCAGTAAATTGTGAACTGCTTTGATTGAAGTCAGCCTCATGGTGAGCCCAAATTTGAAGTTTATCCCTATGGATCACAATGCTTTTTGATAAGGAAATCCATTCCCCATCAGTGCTGGTGAATAGCTCTGTTTATGACACAGCGATGTTTTTGCTATTGAAGTGCTAGCAGTGCTGACATGAGGATTATATGCTTTTGATAATAAAGGTTGCCATAAGGGTCCAAGATAGGTAAAAGAGGTCCCTAAATCTCAAAAGCCAATTAATACACACTGGGGTTAATTTACTAAAGGCAATGATACTGTGCACTGCAAGTGCAGTTACTTTATATCCAAGGGGAAGCTCTGAAATGAGGTGAAGCTCTGTTGATTTTTTTCATCCAGTCATGTACAAGCAAAAATACTGTTTTTTTATTTTCATTGCATGTTCCTCCCAGATCTAGAGCAAATGCACTTTCAGTGCGTATAGCTATATATAAAACATTGAAAATAAGCACCTATACTGTTCAAAATCTAGTAATACACTGTCTCACCCTGATCTGCACATGCCCAGTTGCTCTGTATATTTCGACAATGTCCTGAAATTGTACAGACCAATCTGCTGACAGCCTAAAGAATTATTGCTGCTCAAGGGCTTTAAGATTCAGCAAAAATGGCAGGCTCCAGCAAGAAGAACCATGAACAATGCTGGAGGCAATTTAGAGCTCACACTCATTTCGGTAGCATAATTATTAACCAATTGCCAACCGTGCTATAGCCAAATGACAGCTACAGTGCAGTTGTCCAGTTCTGGGAGGGCGTTATATGACCTCCTCCCAGAACGCGCCCCCATGCTCGCCCCCCAGCAGCATGCACCCAATGATCTCTATGACTGCTGTGTCCTATAGACACAGCTGATCACGTGATGTGGTAAATGGCCAATCACAGCGGCCTTTTACCACGTGATAAGCTGTGTCCAATGACACAGCAGATCACGTGGTAAATACAGTTGTTATTGGCTGCACTTTCCTCACGCTGTCACATCAAGGCACTGATGATCCTTTCCCTGATGATCAGTACCCAGCAGTTTCCGCCCAGCAGTGCCACCCACTAGTGCCCAGCAGTGCCTCCCGCCAGTGCCCAGCAGTGCCACTCACCAGTGCTACCCAGCAGTGCCGAAAGTCAGTGCCCATCAGTGCCACCAGTCAGTGCCACCCATCAGTGCTGTCCATCAGTGCTGCCCATCAGTGCCCATCATTGCTGCATTTCAGTTCAGCATCATCAGTGCCACCTATCAGTGCAGCATCATCAGTGACACTTATCAGTGCCCATCAGTGCTGCCTAACCATGCCACCTCATCAGTGCCCATCAGTACTGCCTATGGGTGCCTATCAGTGCTGCCTATTAGTGCCCATCAGTGCTGCATATCAGTTCAGCCTCATCAATGCACATCAGTGAAGTAGAAAAATTACCTGTTTGCAAATATGTTCTAATAGAAACAAAGAAAAACTTTTTTTTTCAAATTTTTTGCTCTTTTTTGTTTATAGCACATAAGAAAAACACCCAGCAGTGATTAAATACCACCAAAATAAAGCTCTATTTGTGTGGAAAAAAAGATACAAATTTCATATGGTTACAATGTTGCATGAAAGCACAATTGTCATTTAAAGTATGACAGCGCTGAAAGCTGAAAATTGGTCTGGGCAGGAATATAAGTGCCCGGTAGGCAAGTGGTTAATGTAAAATATATGTACCTTGCTAAAGAATACTATTTTTGAAGCGCCACTTTAATTATAGAAAGCATTTTTAATGATACACAATGCTTTATCAAACTATCATTTAGGGCTGATATGTACTTTAATTTAGAATAGCTAATGTTAACAGGAGGTAAGGCAGGGAGAAAATTATTTGAAAACATTTTGCATTTTTTTTTAACCCCTGTGTAAAAATATAGACATATTGCTTTTAGCTGTTTCTGCCATCTGAAAATCACTACAGGAATCTATTTTAATTTACCCTTTTTACATATTTGATTTATTTTACAAATTTTCCAATTTTCTAACAAATACAGACACTAGGTTACTGACAAATACAGAAATAAAGTACAGCAATCATGTATTCATTAAACAATTTCAAACATGAAAACAATGCCCATCAATGAGAAATGACACATTTAAGAATGTGCCACATCCAGTATTATGAAATACAGAGTCAGGTTGCCAATGACCATGGTATACAATAAGTTGAAGTCTACTTTCAATAGTTTTTTTTCAATATAGACTCTCTACCTTCTAAAGAAAGGAATGATTTGTGTTTTTTTTTTCTTTTTTGTTAAATTTTTTATTTTTTTAATTTTGTTTTGCATGAATAATCAGCTGCTTAAGGTACTAATGGTCAGGATATAGTCCAGTCCCACATAATATAGTGTCTAGCCATGAATAAAGATAAAAAGCCATTGAGAACCGACCATCTTCCTGTGCCCAGTCAAGTGAGGATGTATAATAACAGCTGAAAAGAATGAGAAGAAGGTCATGGGAGGGAGTACAAGAAAGAACATGGCTTATACACAGTAGCCTCCCTGGCGGTATTCCCGAGTGTAGCTCGGGGTAAAGGTTCAGTACCACAAGCGGTAACCCCGAGCTACACTTTGGCTTACCATGCGGTGCTGCTCCAGGATCACTTCTTTACTTACCTTGTCCTGCGCTCCCGCGATGTCCCCCCTGCAGTGTCCCCTGTAATGTCCTCCGGCGGATACCGGCATCTGTCTTCTGGGTTCCGTCCCCTGCGAGCGTCAGAACATATTTGGGCCGGAACCGGCGTGAAATTTGAAAATGACAAAAAGTGACATTCACTGAATACACTAAAATCACATAGTAAGACATTACTGTATCAAACCATTTCACATACATATTGTCCCTAGTGCTTTGTCCTGTGCCCTGCCTGCATTTTTACTGTTCTTTCTGCTTGGAAACTGAGAAACGTCCATGGCGTCCAAAAAGCGTCCCCCCTTTAGGTCAAAAGCGGTTTTAGATGAGCTAGAGAACAGCGATAGTAAATTAGAACCACTTGCAGAATTGAGTGATGATTCGTGGGGAAATTCGTCATCAGACACTGAAAATGATTTTGCGACTTTGCTCAGTGATGTGCGAACTTGGCGCTATATTTCAAATTTCAGTGTTTTTGGTTTGATTATATTATTGAATTAAATTTATTATTATTTTTTATTATTATTTATTCAATTATAATTTATGATTTCGTGTTTCAAATTGTAACATACCCGGGATGTTTACTAGACTCTTGTTCGGACAGATTTCAGTGAGTTATTCCTAAACATTACAGGCCTACAATAAAAAAAAATACATATTTCCATGCAAAAAAATTTACCGCTTTGAGCACAGAAATATGGACATAATCAGACTGCTAGGAAGGTTAAAAGCTGAACCAAAAATGTAGCAATCATTGGGAACACTCAAAGGCAATGTGTTAGCATAAGATGAGGCATACTACATTTCAGACAACTGGAGGGACATGTTCCAGAAGGGTGAGTATCAATAGTCCTGAAGTAGGAAGCATATGCCCTATGGAGGATCTTGAACTGAGTTTCCTGCCAGGTTTAATTTACAAGAATCCATATCCTTATAAGATTAACATTGTTCTCCACCAAAGGTTGATTGTTGAGGATTTGAAGGTGTGGATAAGTTGCAGAAATGGGGTAGTTCTTAACTTACCCCCAAGGTTGTCAAGAAGGGTCAAGGTGAAAAGGGCACTAGGATCTCTGACACAAGTTTTCCAGAAATTAGTGATCTGGTGTTAATGCAAAAGTGTTTTGGGAAAAAAATTATATTATCGAACCTTTAAAAATCTTAGACGTATCAGTATGTGGGTGGAAAAGATTGTTCATGCTTTTTATGCTTAGGTAATGCTATACTGCTATGACTGCATAGTCCCTTCCCTGACGGAACAAAGGATTGTTTATTCGGCAATACCTGGAAACATGTAAAGGAAGTTTGAGTTTATTCCTGATCTCTCTCCAGGCAGTAGCTAGAGCATTTTTATAAACAACTCTGGAGTATATAGACTTCTGCGTCAGCCAGTTAAAGGTATGTCTCAGCAGACAGGCTAAATTGTATAGTTTAACATTCGGAAAATGGAGTTTCCTCTTGCCCCTTGGGAGCCACTATTTTCTTATTGAGATTTTCAGAGGTTTGTTACACCACAAGGAAAACAAACCATAGCCTGTGTTGTGAGTAAATAAATGGTGTGCTAAGCTTCCTCTCCGTCACAATTTCATCTTATGTGTCAGTAAATCTTCTGACACATGTTGATAACAGAAGAACAAAGCACCAGAGAGAAATGATACTCAGAGCTTTGGAGAAATACAAGTAAACACTATAGATATACAGTATGTGCTTTGTACAGATTTCATGACTGAGGTTTACAACCATTTTAAAGTAGTATTAAACCCAAAAGCAAACATTATATTGCAGCTTACCAATTATATGTAAGGGATATATTAATTTCCTTTTTTAGGCTCTCTTTCTTCTATTTTCATCTAGTGAAGCAGCCAGGAAGTCTATTGTTTTTCAAAAGCACAAGCTCTCCAGCTCTTCAGCAGAATGTATCAGTTTATATGGATGAGATAAACCACTTAACACTGCCAGGAGTGATTTTAGTTTTGCTTTCATTTGTTAGTGTATCTAAATATGCTAATACATGTAATACTACCCCCTCAGTCTGACAATGGTGCTGTCTACTGTGCCTCCTATCTCTTTCCTCTAGTATTGTGTCTCACTAATACTAGAGGTATGTTACTGGCCAGTTCACCAGGAGAAAATGGAGGGAAAAAGAAAAGAAAACAGATGTAGCCACCACATCTAATGATTGGAAAACTGCAATATGTTAAATTTTTCATTTGGGGTTTAATCACTTTTCCTCTGGAAATTGTAATCCTCTTCATGAATGGGGCATTTTTTGCTATTTACCACTCTGCTACTTTAACTGGCAATTTTGCTTGGTCATGCAACACGGTACCCAAATTAAATCTGTATTCACACAAAATAGAGCTTTGTTTTGGTTGTATTTGATCACCAGTAGGGTCTTTATGTTTTATTATGTAAGTGAAAAAGGACTGAAAATTATAAAAAAAACTATATTTTCTGCTTTTTAACCTTTTGCCACCCGGCCTATAGCCAGATCGCTGCCGGGCGAACAGCTTGTCCCTCTGGGTGGACGCCCTATGGCGTTCTTTCTGGATCTCGCATTGTGCCTGCCTGCAGGGCTGCTCTGTGATGAGATCTGTCACCAGCCACGTACATCGGACATGGCCAATGACAGATCTGTGTACCGGCCCCATTGCCAGTACCATGTGACCTGCTGTGACCAATCACAGCAGGTCACATGACAGTTGTATACAACTTCCTTTCATGCCATCAATTGTATATAAGTGTGTCTAGCTGTGAATGGTCACAGCTATCACATGCACAAGCTGGGCCAATCACAGCCCAGCTGTGTCATGTGATTAGCTGTGGCCAATCACAGCTAATCACAAAAAAACCCCTGAATGAATCAATTTCATTCAGGTAAATGCTTGCTCGTAGCAAAGTAATTATTTGTTATAAGTAATCAAATTATGTAAAAAAAAAAATACTGATCACTTCCCCAAAGTAGTACAATGTTACTATGGTAACATTATACTACTTTGGTCATAGTGCAATATGAAAAAAAAAATCTTAAAAAAAAGAGAAAACAAAATTAATAAAAAAATAAAAAATAGTAAAAATGTTTTAAAAAATTAAAAACAATTATTTTTTTTCCTACTTTCACCAGTCAGTGTCTCTGATCATCGCCATGCCACTTATATGATGACGCTGTACTGCACTGGTGACAGTATGTAAAAAAAAATTGGGAAAGTAATTTTTTTAATTTTTTCATTTTCTGAAAAATTATGACAAAAAATTACAACTTCAAAAAACTCACCATGACTCTTATGAAATACGTTGGACTGTTTACTTTGCAAAAAGCAGTCTTTTGGGGGATATCTGTACTGTTCTGACATTCTTGGACCTCAAGAAATTAGATTGGCTGTCAGTACTTCTGGATTGATCAATTTTCAGATATATCCCATAGTTTGTGAACTCTATAACTTTCCTACAGACCAAATAAATACTAATTTGGGTTATTTTCACCAAAGAAATGTAGCAGCATACATATTGGCCTAAATGTATGAACAACAATTATTTATTTGCAAACTTTTATTGTGTTTTTTTTTACATTTTCAGATTTTTTTGTTAATTTATCAAAACATAAAAACCCCAGAGGTGATCAAATACCACCAAAATAAAGCTCTATTTGTGTGAAGAAAATGATAAAAAATTTTAGTTTGGGTACAATGTTGTATGACCGCGCAATTGTCTTTCAAAGTGTGACAGCACTGAAACCTGATAATTGGCCTGGGCAGGAAGGAGGTAAAAGTGCCCGGTATGGAAGTGGTTAATAAAACATATCCAAAATCATATTTCTTCATACATTTAGTCTAAAATTTATTCTACTACATGTTTTGGTATAAAAAAAATCCAAATTGTGTATACGTGTATAATATTTGTTTTTTTTTAAAGGTATAGAGTCTACAAACAAACTATGGTCTATAGTTGCTTCAGTATCCGCTTTGCCGCGGATATGAAGCAAAACTGCACTTGTGGTGCACTTGCAGTGCAAAGTATATTTACCTTTAGTATATCAACCCCACAGTGTGATGGTGATAGTGATTGTGATAAATGTACTGTGGGCAGGGAGCAAGCAGTTAATACTGATTTAAAACTGTACAGTTCAATGTTTATTTAACCAACTATATTTATAAGAGGAAATAATGAATTACTAAGACACATACTAAATATTCAGTTCAATATGCTCAGAAACTGAATTTTTATATTCCTTCTCAGTTTCTAATAATACTTTCTATGATTAACTTGGAAAAACAAATTTGTATACTGACTGATGTGACATTTTCAAATTGCTTTACTGAGAATTTAAATGCCACATATTCTAAAGATATGCATGTACACCAAAGACTGTGCATTCATTTCAAAATATGTGGTTTAGTAAAATATCTGTCAGATAATGAAAATAATAGAAATGCTGCAAGTGACAGTTACATTAACATGTTGTCAAAAAATGTGTACACATAGCATATATATAAAGTGTGAACATGCAGGAGCATAAAAAATAGGGATGAGGTTCGGGTTCACTGCTCAGTGGGTTTGTGGCATTTGTGGCTCCTATGAATTTATGCAGAAATCTGCCAAACCAACTTTTAAAGGAGACATAATGCCCTGCCTGATATTTCAATTGATGTCAGCAGGGTTAGACAGGCCAAAAATGGAGGCTTTTGTAAATGCTAGTCCCTTCAGTATAAAAAGGAGGGTTCGCAGCAGCCCGTCAGTGTATATTGGAACCGTTTAGGGAGGTGGCAGTCTCTGTAGGGAGAGTACAGTGCTATATTGTGCTTATTTACTGTGGCTTACAGTGTGATTAGTTATGTTCACCTCCGTTTTAACAGTTGAGAGACCCAATACTAATTTTTAGGACTACATTTTGGTGTGTATCAACAACATTTGGCTGGTGGGCCTCCCTATTTTTTTAATATTTTTTTCTTTGTTTATTTTTTTTTTTTTCTTCACATTTATCCAATTTTTTAAAACATTTTCTGCTTGGTTAAAATGGGTAAGAGTCTTGTGTTTCAATGTTTTTTTTGGGTGGAGGCATATATATTTTCTGTTGCTTGGGCCATTTTTTATTTAATACTGTACAACGTACCCATGTTACTGTTACTTGTTACTTTCCTTTGTAGGCAGTACCATACAACATACATGTTTGGTAAAGTATTGTGCATAGACTACCACTCATTTATCTT